CCTCCAAGATGTTTTAAGTTAACCAGATTCGTCATCATCATCTACTCCACTTGTAAACCGCGTACGTGTTGTGTGCTGGTTTCGTTCGGCTCTGATAAGGTAAGTGGACAGCTACGCATGGAGGCAATAGCTGGTATGATTGACGCTTGACAGTGGAATTTCCACTGGGAAGATAAAGATGAAAAGCTAAACACCGCAGGTAGCAGTTTGGAGACATGTGCACTACTGAATGCCAAATTGGGTCACACATGTCAACGCCTTCAACAAGTGATGTTCCGTCTCAGCGTCCTGATTCAGGGAGACGGCAATAGCCAATGGAGCTGGAATTGTCAGTAATGACCTTTACATCATCATCGTCATCATCATCATCATCGACAGCATGACATCAGTGTTCAATACCAATGCTTCATTGCCGTACAACCATGATTTATTTGAAAGCCTCATTGTAAAGAAAAGAGTGAAGGTGGACAGGGAGGGGACTTAGTGCAGGCTTAACACAATCATTCCGAGGTGCCTACACCTCCAGACATTCACTCAAGCGATCTGGATAGAAACTGACAACAAGAACGCCACTGACATCGGTTGGCAGCCACATCTTGTAGTGTCTCCAACCAGGCACAGTGAGGATCACGTGGTCCCCATCCTGGAAGGCGAGTAGCACCGACAGCATCCAAGCGTTTCGTGATCTCCTTCATACTCCTCTGCCAAGTCAAGGGTTGGCCACCTCTCTGTTTAGGCCAATCTGAATTGGGCATGGAAAACGGTACACTCTTCGGCAAGCGATGTTTCGGCATACACAACAAATCTCTCAACCAACGCAGCTCCTGGTGCTGGACACATTCTTCAATGGAAGTACCCGTTACACAACCGAAACCGCGCTTTCTAACTACCTCGTTACGGATTCGCCGACACCAAACCACACGAGCTATGGTTCTGAAACAACAATTGTCGAACACCTGAAGACACCTCAGTTCCGCTGCTCGCCAAGTCTCACAGCCATACGCTATTAGCACAATGTTAATCGAACTTTCATTTCTTGCTCACGTTAACTTTCGAGCACGTGACCGTAATTCTCTTGTGGATTTCGCCGCAGTTCAAACCTTTTCTGATTTGCCCACTGTTTTATTCCACGGTAAGCAAATGTCTTTTCTTGTTGTGAGAAACGTTTCACGTGTAATGATTCGTTGCACATTGTTATGATTTGATCTCATTGCCTTTTCCGCTGTTTGTATGATTTATAGCTTCTTCAAGCTATTGCAATTTTTTTGTATTTTTGGTGCTTTGCTAACAAAAATGAGTGAATCACTTTTGTGACACCTGAGTATTTTTCAGCGTGCTCCAATGAATGCAGAATGATAAAAAACATCGCCATTGCTACCACCAATAGTATGTAGTGTCTGTAATCCGTTGTCACTCTTACCATTTTTCCTGAACTTGAACCACACTTTGTAACTGTCGTTCATATTGTATCATGACGTTTGTTTTAATGTTACGAATACACAATTTTCCGGCGTGACCTGCTGACTTCTTGCTGGACGACTGTATTTACGCCCGTTGAACTGTTTGTTGACTGTTGAACCAGTGGGACTAAATCTCTGTGTTTGTGTCAACTGTTAAACGTCACAATAAATCCCTGTGACATTTTTTAGCCGTGAATAATTTTCATACCGTGGAATATATCACTCACACGGAACCATCTGCAGGAAATCTCGACGAGTGGATATTTTCCTTTCACACCCAGTTACTGCATTTGGATCGGTGTAGTGGACTATTGGATCTACACATTCGTGAGTCCCCATTTGACTACTCATTCCTTTCCTATTGTGATTTTTGTGATTTTGCACTGGTTACTTTTGCTTGTTAATTTATCCGAACACGCTGATTAGGTCCTAGTCCGCTACAGATTGCCCTGGCTGTGGTATATATTCCAGAAAATCCTCTTCACGAATCTGGGACATCAGTTACAGTAGATAAAAAACGTATGGTGCGAAAGTTAACGAAAACCCACAAGAAGCACGCCATTTGACATCTCTGATGCAATTTAATTTCCATGGTTTTCTACATTATTCCCTAAGCTGTAAGTAAGCCCATTTCATCGTAAAACATGTGACCCGGCCGTCCACCTGAGGTTTTCTTTTGAAACTCCCTCCCACTACCTGAATGAGCGTTACTGAAACGTTCCGGAAACTGTTTGATTAAAAAAACGGCACACTGATACCTGGTGGGTATAAAGAAAAGTTTACCAGAAATGGATTTGAAAGAATCAGTAGCAGTGTTTGGACAGGATGAGTAGAACTCACGCAATCTTCCCATATCTCACTCAACTAGCCGAGCACAAAGCAAGAACAAAGTGATCATTCATCATGAATTGACGCTCCACAGAACGGTTTCCATGTTTTCCAACCCACTAATGCTTCTTGTTCTCCGACTGGCTTCGTTTCATACCTCTCAATTCACAATGAGGACTCATTCAATTCATTTACCGTGTCCTTAGTATCGACTGGCTGTACTATACTTCATCTTTTTTTCGATGAAGCCCAGAAAACGGAGTAGGCCGCTTCTGAAAAATCAATACTTCACGTAATCCTGGTAGTTCACGAATTTTCCCGAATAGGTCGCATAACTGCTGCCAGAAGCTTTCAGTGTAGGATTTTAAATCTTACGGGCATATTTGGTACCCAAAAGTAGTATATGGTGTGAACTGCTGTGAATCTAGCAACACGAAACCAAAGATTTACACAAATTCAAGGACAAAACGAAGACAGTGCACCTCAGTGTGAAAAATGCGTTTTAGCCGCCTAGCAAAGACAAAAAACTGATAGTAAGCTATTCATAAAAATGAGCAATCGGTTTCGTCCTTCATGGGGTTCAACTGTAACGCTATCAAGCTTACTGAGAATACATACTTTCAAGTGAAACATGAGACACCCTGTGTGAAACATATTCACCTAAAGAGTATCATGAACGACAGATTCAGCTGTGTCCCCCATTAACATCAAATTAATTTTCAATTGAGAGTTTATAGCGCACTGTTTTGTAGTTAGTTTATACAAACTGTTACCGTAACCGGTGCATACTGTGTAGATACTACTAACTACATGTTTTCGATGCTTTTATATGGTTGCGTCCCCAGAACATATCCCGTTAGAGTTTGATGAAATTTTGGACGTTGTAGTCGAGTTGGGAAGGTTAATTGATGAGTCTGAAAAGTACACCTTTTGTCTGACACAAATTACGGATAGCTAACAGCAAGGTAGTTTTATACTAGACAGAGTAGCCGAGCCACTGAGGCCTCCCAACTAAGCGTATAAGCCGCTGAGTCATAACCATCGGGTGGGTGCTTTACGCATAAACGCTGGATTCATATCAATCAATTAATCAATCAGTCAGTCAGCCAATCAGTCACTTCCACCAATGACACCAACAGAAAAACACCAGTAAAGTCAACCGTGAATCACAGTCTGAATAATCTATACTGATGATACGTGGACAGTCGAGCAAAATGCCCCGGCTAATTGGCTGACCAGCTGCACGCAAATGTTGATGAATGGTAGCTTCCTGATGGAATTTGATCCACTAATCCACCGCTCTACAGGACCTTTTTGAATATCTCGTCGTCACAGACAGTGTGCAGTTTAGCTTAGTGGTCCGTGGTGGGTCTGCTTTTTGTAAAAAAAAATGCAAACAGACCATTCAACATCATTGTGAATACGTGGGTGAAGACGATATCTTATTTACTGTTCTGATTGGCCTTTGCACTAAAGGACTTTGATAAACTTGTCATTCAAATCACGGTGCACCTTTGGATTCTGGTGCCACGGACCAATAGAATTCGTCCCTTATAACCACCAATCGATCGTTTCGCCCCGGCCTACTGCGGGGATCCTCGTAACATCCTTCGATAAATGTGCAGCTTATGCTTGTATCTGAGTGATGATAGATCGAAGTTTACCACAGTCAAACCAATTCCTGCAACAGCTAAAAGGTTAACCACGGAACAGCTTGCATCTGGTAGAAAGCTGTCATCGATCGCCAAGGGTTTGGAGTGATGCGTCTGTTCATTCAAATCATGGATTTGATGTCACCCCCAAATACCCAAACGAGTGGGATTACGATGGATTGCTCAGATGGGTTTGAACAACACAGTGATGAAATTTAATGTGTTCGGGAACTCGCCATCAAGTCAGCACATAACTGATGCTCAAAACAGGGGCAAATAATGAAATAAATGGCTACCAAATCAGCAGACAAGGAGAAACTGGTGAGTGGTTGTCACCAAACCAGCCACAGTCAGACTATGAGACTATGAGGCTATGAGACAGTCTAGGGGAGCACTGAGAGATTGTGTCGAGCGATTTGTATCACAAAACCAAGGCAAACAGTGCTCGTACGAACCGTTTTTGACATCTGAGTACGGGATTTCACAAGCGTATTGCGACTGCTTCGGTTGTAGACCCGGCCAATGGATCGATATTTGCAGTCTATCTAGTACTCTCTAGATAACGCAAAACGGCTTGTTCGGGTTGCCCATGTGTGCGATCTACTCGACACCCAGTTGATGACAGCATGCATGACACTGTGGGATCTGAACATCTCGCAGGTGTGAATATGTAGAAAATCCGCAATTCTCTCACACAATCCCGTACACGTTTACAACATTTCTGAGAAATTCACAAAACTTCTACTGACTTGCACGAAAATTCAAAAATGCATATTTTGAGTGTGTGGAAACGGTGTGGACAGAAATGGTGGACAAATGCTGCGACACAGAAATGTGGTGATATGCAAAAATGCGTGTTTAACCACGAAAGGGGAGTTGGCCATTTTGAGATGACTTGTGTTCATGTGACAAAACAACGAATATATGGGATTTGTTTGAACGATTAGGAATCCAAAGTGGTACACAGACCAAGACGGAATGTATGCACATGTAGACTACACACAGTTGGTGAGAGACTCAAGGTTCATTCAATCAGTGACTGAAGCTTCATGACAACGAGTTAGAATCCCCAGAATGGTCTTCCGAAACGAACCCACTCACCAGCCGAATTGATATCTTGCACGAACAGAGAAGAGTCTACATAAATCGATTGCTTGCATTCCTTTGTTTTCTCATTGTAGTAAAACGAACGGCAATAATGATGGATCTTGCAGCTGCATAGAAAGAGGGGAAAATATGTATCTGTCATGTGGTGATCTAGTGGCATCCACAAGTCCATCGTTTCTCGATAAACTGCTTGTTTTCCTTTATGAGGAAACGTCAATCAGAGCATTAGCAAGGCTTTCGAAACAGCAATCCAAACATATGGGCAATATTCTTACTCAAACATCCGGATGCATCCCGGAGAAATGAGAAAAAACCGCGATTCCCAAACAAAAGTGTGCTTCTCAGACTATAAGTTAGGCATTCCAGCACATCTACTCATTAGTTCTGCAGATGAGATAGCTCGCTTATAAAGGCACTTAAATTGGCAGTTCTGCGATGATCAAAAGAGTAAGGACCACAGGAGACAGCAGTACGTGGTCACTTATGCGATTCGCTATTGCGCAGGAAGGACTGCACACTACCTTATTATCCAGTAGAAGAAACCCCCTTTTTAAGAATTATTGTATATGGTTTTCTTGTCCGGCCAGACCATTCTGTGCACTATGGAAACACAGCATAGCAACCGTCATACACGACTCATTAGTACAGACCTATAATCTATTTCCGCATTATGAGTTTTTAAAATGATCATAATTGTGATTTCTTCCGTCATTTACTTCGGAGGTATACACCTTTTGAAATAAAATTCGTGTTGCAACCGTCCGACAGTCCACCATTTGTACAGGGTAGGAGGAACATAAGTTGGAAAGTGAGATGTTCAACCTTATATTGGAATCATAAATATTACACATTTCATGAATCACAGGCGAATCACAAATATCCAGTACAACACTTTGAAAAAAGCCGTTCAGAGGTAGGTCACTCGTCAGTTGCACGAAAAATAGGCTAAATCAATCGATCAATCAATCAGTCAATCAATCAATCAATCAATCAAATAATTACCATTTCGAAATATTCAATGGTGCGAATGACTACGTTTCTTTGGAGATTGAAGAAACTAGACAGCCGGAAATTTTACATATGCATTAGTGCATTGGACGGGCTGACGTTACAGCTTCTTTCAAATATGGACAAGTAATGATCTTCACCCTACACCCAGAATTCAGTATGCCGTAATCCTCAGGATGGTCGGCTGAAGTGGTAATGGACCTTCACAAATATTCTATCCACTTTCTTCTCGAGAGGCTCATTCAGTTTCAGAAAACACTCTAGAAGTATGTCAGTGATTTGATGGGTGACTCTGTCCTTACCACTGCTCGTTTTGGGGGAGGACTATTGACTGAGTGGAGAATTTTGTTGTTTCACACCGTCATACGTCTTCACACCGAAAGTCTGAAGGAACTTAATCGTTCATCTACTAAAAATATCCAACTTGATTTTTAAAGTACTACTCGCAAACAGGCTGATTTTGTTGTTCCTCGGGATCTCCATCGATCGATATTTCTTCGGAGGAAGGGTTGCTGTCGACTCATTTGTGGAAGTTACTTCAATTAAAACAAGTTTGTTTCACTGTATTATGTCGGTTGAGAGGTTTGATTTCACTCATTTTGAAGTTGAATGACTAAACTTTTAACTGATTCATCAAATTGTTCGGCCTTGGCTTAACAGTTTATAGCAGTCAGTAACTTCTCTTCTGAAATGCTGAAGCAATCGCAATGAAAGGCAAGCCGAAGAAAGCAGTATACATCTGTTTCAAGGGCGCACTCTAGAAGAATGCATGTGAACGAGAAACCTCGCTTGGAAGTGTCTTTTCACGGAGTCACCAGTTCAACTACGTGTTGGCACAAACCCGAGGGGGCAATAGCAGTAAATAAACAGAAAGATTCATCTCAAGGCCATCAGCTGATCACCACTAGCCAATAGCCACTTTACCTGGGAAAACGGTGTTCAGAGACATCCATTTCTAGCACCCATGCGGAACTAAGTTCTCCCAATGTCTCTGGTCTTAACGAGATACATTTGAAGCCTGATTAATGATATCATACAAAAAAGACGCTACAGTGCGATACAGTTTAATACAACACAGGACGATACAGATTTACTGATAAAATGGCAGTCCCATTTGGGGACGACACTCATTCATACAAAGAAGCGGCCATCACTACCACAGTAGTTAGCCAGCACTTTGGTTTTACACAAAAATTAATTAATACCTCGGCTGCCACCTTTTCCACTTATGGCGAATACCCAGGCTTTGGTAATTGCTCGTTCGGTCAGTTTAGTTAGTCTCAGTGACTGCATCAAACCTCATGCGCATGACTTTGCAGGTTACATCGGTGCGATTGTTTAGCGGAATCCGGTATTCACGTTGCCACCAGTTTTTGTCCGACTAATGCACGTCCAGTGCACGTCACTTTATGTGTTCTCTGCAGTCTATTGGGCTGGCTGGAGTTTGTGCGTCACGAGGAAACGCCTCAAAGATGGATAAGCTATCAATCATGAGAGGGCATCATTAGCTCACAGAGGAATCAGTTATTTTTACGTGTGACCAGCTCAATGAACTATTCATATTGTTGTAATGAATATTCGTAGCCAAGTGCTATTGTTACAATGTCACTGTGCTTTCTAGTTCCATTGAAAATGTGAAGTGCAGCAGTGTTTAAGAAGATGTCAGTTCTCACGGTCTCGTTACATCACCGCAGTGAACAGTGTCACGTAAATGGTGTTTAGCCGAGTCACGTAGAAGAAGGAATGTCGCCCAAAATTCCGGTTTCCTGATATCACAATTCCCGTCATTTGTGAGAACTGAGTAACGCAGGACACTGAGGCTACGGTCCGAAGAAATGAAGCTGGGAAAATTTCTGAAAAACTTTGCTCCAAGATAAGACCGGGTAGACCCGAGGTGGTTTAAACAATAGGAAAGAGAATTCACCTCCACTAGAGGAAGACACATTAAACTGGAGAGAATTCAGATGGCAGGAATGCTTTACCTCCCTCAGAAGGTTTCTCTTCAAACGAATAGGCCACTCAATCCTCAGCACAAAGTGGTTAACTGACATTGCAGTGTCTGGCAATCGATGGCCTGGCAAACGTTGAGTGAAACTGGCTGTAAAATGACAATATACGGTTAGAATGGCAACGAAAAGTTTATCGGTGTAATCGCTGTCTTTTCACAACCTGAGCAGTTAATGACTGGTTCTGGTCTGAATACAAGAGAGTGAATCGCACCGAGGTTGTACATTGCTCATTCTCATAGGGGTGTGAAAACCACAAGTATGAGTTTGAATAGTGTTTCATCTACTGATGTAGAAATGGCAAAACACCTGTGTGGTATCCAAGACGTCAGCGGGCCTACGTAGCAAGGACATGTGGTCTCACCGTCGCACTGATCGGTCTACCTGAACCCAGTGTGGTTGACAGTGAGATAGGGACGTTAATCGGGCACATGGACCAGGTAGAACAAAGCAAAGAATGAATTGCTTGACGAATCAAGTGATACGCTTGGTATCGCAATCATAAAGGCAGACGTTGAGGACAAACCTACGAGTTTAATGACAACGCTGTGACAGCCCACTACCAGTTTGGCTCTTCTTGGGTCTCATCTGTTAGGTTTGCCCCAGGAGTTTCCATCACCTTCATGTTCCACTTGAACTGCATATTAAACGGCAGATTCGCTTGGGTCTCTGCGATGCGATTTGTTATGCTTGGAGTTCCGGGCCACGCCTGCCTCGGATCATCTCTCGAGATAGACCACGCATCAATAGAGTGAGTTGTTGTGTCTCATTGAGGCTTTTGTCCACAACAGAGTCACTAGGGTTATTCAACAATCCTCATGTTTATTAGCTATTCATTCCAGCACGCCACTCTGAATAGTAAAATACAAGATGAAAACATCTCTGTTTTTTTACCGTACATAACATGATTTATGGAGAGAGGAAAAACGAGGTAGGGAATCGGCAGACTGTCTATCAGACTATCGCTATCTCAGTATCATCTATTCTGACTGATGAATTTCACCAGAGATTTGGGAATTGTGTTATGCTTCATGTATCTAATGTTCACGCAGTTTGCCTTCAGTCTTGTCAATCGAACATATTCACTTGCCAGCCTCCGAACACATGGTCCCCAGATGATTTTCAAATCAACTGGAAAGCGTTTGAGACCGATTGGGTAGTCATCGTTTCAAAGAGGTCTGGTAAGCAATCGGTGGATTTGTTGCTTGGCAATCATCATATTTATTAGATATTCAATCCTGCAGGCAGAAAGCCTATCAATATCTTAGTGCCATCTTTCTGATTGATGAATTACACATGTCTTCGTGTGTGATTCTTAATTCTGGACTCAGAGAAATGATGGATTCGATCACTTTTCCCCCGGTTGTTTGGAAATGACTTAAGGAATCCGAAAACCGCGTGCAAAACCAGACGCCCATGTGGGAGTTTCCGTGATTTTTTTCAAATTTATCTGTCCGTTGAATTCTATTTTCCTCGAAAGGCTGTGAAATTTCACTTCACTCACTAAACACTGGTCCCCCGCAGGCTTAAGACGAAGTCAAACGACCTGTAGGTCAGTGAAAAGCAAATGGTCCTTGGCATGTCGTTATAAGGTTAATCTACTGGCCTTCGAATGCATCTTAAGAGCTAGATTTGGCTCAGAGTCTCAAAAACTCAAGTGATCAATGAGCAACCAGCGAATGACCACTAGTTAAAGAACAAGTTAGCAAGCCGAAGGCTATAGTCACCGCCACAACCATTGAAATAGGATAGCCCGTATGTGACTGCAGCCGTCCAACCTCAACGTGGATCACATAAAACGTTTGCTTGCCTGCGTAAGAGTGCCAGATCCCTATCAGTGAAGTGACAGGGAAGTATGAGTGTACTTTAAGGAAGTTCGGCGATGAATATAGTTCAATACTTGTCCTGTTCCCTCCCTCCCCGCTGGAATTTCTGTCGGACTTGTTCAAATCGGTTCCATCGTTTTACTTGGAACCAAACTGGTGGCCAGTATTTGAAATCTTCCCGTTGCTCTCCGGATCAAGTGAGTCTAATTCGAGACAAACACTGGGCGTAATCGATTCGTCTGAAAGTACGAGCTGAGCACTCAAATCTCA